TGCACTGCAGGAATACATACAATACTGCACAGGTTCCCATGTTGCTTAAGTGTGAACAGAGCTTTTTACCAAACAGAAACACAAAAACAAGTGCTAATAATTAATAAGGTAACATGTAGGTTAAATACACTTATTAAATCAAACAGAATCAGATATACGGGAGGAATTAAATAAAGGCTAAGTTCACCTTTAAAAATAATAAATGATTGATTGAAATGAATGATTTTGAATGTATAAAATGTACATTTAGTTATTTATTACAGGAGCCTGAAATGTATTGCACCTGCGATTAGCAGATCAGCACCCGCACAGTACGGATGAGGGGAGTGCGGAGGTGCTTCATAGTAACATGTTACACCCTAAATACAGACTGAACATGTTACTAAAGGTGAACTTATCTTTTTAAGTGAGGAAAAGCCATGCTCTACTAACAAGCTGAAGTTACTGATGACAGTTCAGTGTAAATATTACACAATGACAAGAAAGAAATGCCCATAGCGAAAAAGAAAAAGAATTAGCGCAGGGCAGGCATGACTAGGCCTAAAGTGGGAAGGAAGAATAGAAAGGGTTAAGTATAGTGCCAGGGGGTTTGAAAAGTATAGCTGGGGAGCTGGTTGGTACAGGGAGAGCGTGGGTGGGCTCTTCTGCACCTTAGGGGGGGGTGTCCTGGTGGGGGGGCGTCAGTCAGAGCTGGACGTTGGTGAGTGAGCTTCCCTCCCGCCCTCCCTATTTAGTGAGTTTTGTGTTCTTCTTGGGGGGAATGGGGGGTTATTTCAGTTCATGGGCGGTTGTTGGTCTTTGGAGGCGGTTCTTATCTTGAAAGTACAGATAAGGGTGTGGGACCCATCGGTGGTATGGTGTGCCCGGGGACATTCCAGTTAACCAAGGTTTAACTGGAAGGTGGTGGTGCTGCACTGCGGATGGTATGGTTGGTTGTTGCGGCTGGAGGCCTTGTGTAATATGGTTGTCTGCAGGTGCATTTCAGATCATGTTTGGGGGGTGCCTTCGAAGACCAACAACAACTCTGTATGTTTCTGTTATAAGGAATGGTTGGTGTGTTAAAACGTGTTTGTTAATAAAAGGCCGTGTTGGCCATTTACTCCAAAATTGGTGTCATGTTTTCTTTAAGTATAATTACAGGGGGGGGGGGGAATCTGGATGAACCTCTCTCTGGTGCACTAGTCATGAGTATAGCAGCAAAAAACAAGGTGGTCTTGAAAGATAACAAGGTCTACCACAGGCAGATATTTCAAGATAGAAAGGTGCTTCCACATGTGCTGCCAAAGCTCTTTTGCAGAAGAACAAAGAAACGGGCAACACTGAGGACAAAAAACAGTGATTGGAGAAGAAAACTTGGGGCAGCAGTGGAAAATGCATTGTGCTAACTTCCCTTCGCAATTTAGATGTCCAGTGGCACCATAATCTCAGACATGTAAACAAGGCCAAGCGTCTCACCTAGTGCTCAGAAAACTATCAGCAATTGCTCTGGGCTGATGACTACAAATGTAAAAATTTGTCTATACAAATGTCTGTACATACCACCACCAATCAAAAGCACTCACCAGAATGTATGGCTACACATATACAACTGGATACTAACATTTATTGGTAAAGTTGATCAAGGGAATATCCGATTGCCTCTCGGGGGATCAGGAAGGAATTTTTTCCCCTGCAGGAGCAAATTGGATCATGCATTGCTGGTTTTTTTTTTTCACCTTCCTCTGGATCAACTGTGGGTATAGGATTATAACTTTTTTTTTTTTTAATGAACTGGATGGACTTTTGTCTTTTTTCAGCCAGACTAACTATGTAACACATAGGCAACAAATAGACACAATAAAATCAGCTGTACCACAGCAGAAATGTCAATGAGAAGTGGTCAATTTAAGAAGGTGACACTCTGGGAATGGCAACAACCAGGCTATTACACCATTTGAAATCAAAAGATGGGTGGTAGGGCTTTGTATAGAACAAAAGTAGAGCCAAAAAGATTATAGTAAGCAAATGGAAACCAAAATAAAATGGTATCTCAAAACTCCACATTGTGCACCACCACCAATCCAATGCACTCACCAGAACATATGGCTGCACAGGTTAAAAGCAGCAAACAAACTTGATAGAATCAACCCGGTCACAGTGATTCAACCTTTAGGAATGGTCTAGTAATACCAAGCAAGCAGTTATACCATTAAAACTGCCAGGTAGGTAGTAAGAATGTGAAATAAGTGGCCACCAAACCGGAGCCAGATGAAGAATATAGTTTAGCATTTACTATATGTGATGCTAAACAAGCAAGGATAAAAATGACAGTGTCCAGGACTTACAAATGTGGCCACCGCATGCGATACAAATGGCGGCGATGACATCAGCACTCTCTCTGCTCAATGCATTTCATGCTCTAGTGTATCATCAGGGGTCTTGCTTTACAACATTACATCTTGAATGCATAAACCTTTTACACAGTACTGTACCTGTCACAAATAATTAAATGCAGAGAATTCTAGCTGTACAATTTGAGCACTGGAAATGGAAAAGTTTGATTTTTAGGGCTGGTTAACACCAGCTGCTGCAACACCAGCCCCTTCTTCTCAGCCATAGCAACATCTTAGCCAAAAAATTCTTAGAAAAGGGATATCCTGCCCCTCTTATACACAACTCTTTTCAACATTATTTAGACAAATCAGCTCATAAGCCTTACCCATCCACCCCAAAAGTCAGTGTACAACCCATATGCTTCACTACACAATTTCATGCTCAATACAAGAAAATGGAGAACATTCTACGTAGACACTGGTCCATATTGCTACAGGATCCATCACTGATTGTCCCAAAAGTCTTGTACAGGAAGGCGAGAAAACATTAAAAGTAAAATAGCTACCAGTAAAATTAAATGCATTTCCAGTCCCTTTGGTCAGGATGTACCAAAGTAAAAAGGCATTGTGCCTTACATGCTCCTTCATTCAACATGGTCAGAAAACATTCACCATCAAAAGGGAAAACCTACCCCATAAAGGAATTTTACAACTGTTCCACCGAATATGTAATTTACTGTTTAACATGCCTGTGTGAGTTATTTTACGTAGGGAGGACCAACACTACGTAAACGCTTTGGTGAGCATAGATGCCTCATTGAAGCAGGTTCTGATAAGCACAGTGTCCCTAGACACTATACAGAACATCATGACAAATCCACCACTGGGCTATTCGGGTGGGTCCTGGAACACATTCCCCCATTACCCTCTATGGCAGAGTATTTTAAGCGCCCCTGCCAACGCAAAACATACTGGATCTACACCTTAGACACCCTAGCCCCAGGAGGGCTTAATGAGAAGATTGAGATACACACTATATTATAATCATCTGTCCATTCCTCCGATAATACCCTAATGTCTATCCTAGAAACGCATCTTCCATACATAGATGTGCATATACTGACATGTGTACAGTGTCATATTATTATTATACCGGATTTATATAGCGCCAACAGTTTGCGCAGCGCTTTACAATACAAGGGAGACAGTACAATTACAATACATTTCAGTACAGAAGGAATAGGAGGGCCCTGCTCGTGGAGCTTACAATCTAAAGGAAGGGGGAGGTGATACAAAAGGTGATAGCTGCGGGGGATGATCTGGTGGAGGTGATTCAAGTACAGTTCTTAGGTGGAGGTGGGGTAGGCTTTCCTGAAGAAGTGAGTTTTCAAAGATCGCCTAAAGGCAGACAGGGTGGGGGCTGACCGAACATGCTGTGGTAGGGAGTTCCAGAGGATGGGAGAGGCTCTGGAGAAGTCCTGGAGGCGAGCGTGGAAGGAGGTGACGAGGGAGCTAGAGAGCAGATGTCTTGGGAGGAGCGGAGTGGGCGATTTGGATGATATCTGCGGATGAGGTTGGCGATGTAGCTAGGGTCAGTGTTGTGGATGGCTTTGTAAGCTGTGGTTAGTATTTTGAATTTTATACGTTGGGTTAGTGGAAGCCAAGCCAGTGAAGGGATTGGCAGAGAGGGGCAGCAGTTGCTGATCGGTTGGTAAGGTGTATGAGTCTAGCAGCAGCATTCATAATAGACTGAAGGGGGGATAGCCTGTGTAATGGTAGACCAGTGAGGAGGGAGTTGCAGTAATCGAGGCGGGATATAACCAAGGCGTGGATAAGTTTTTTTTTGTGGTGTCATTGGTCAGGAAGGGGTGGATTTTGGAGATGTTCCGGAGGTTGAGGTGGCAGGATTTAGCCAGTGAGTGGATGTGGGGCCCATAGGAGAGGTCAGAGTCTAGGATTACGCCTAAGTGGGGGATCGGGGAGGAGGAAATATTACAAGCTCAGTTTTTGAAAGATTGAGTTTAAGGTAGTGACTTTTCTCCCCCCCCCCCCCACTCTCTTTTCAGTGCCCCTGCATTCATTATCCTGTTTCCTTTTGTTACACCTTTTTACCATGTTATTGACACTACCATATGTGCAATTTTACATTCATTACCATTTTTATTATCATTGCTAATAACAATGTGTACACCGTTATACACATATATATCCTTCATAATTTTCTGTTTTAAGGTTCAGTGCTCTCTTTTTAACATCATTATATCTTTTATAGCTTTGTGATCATGTTCCACATTGATATGCGTTTTTTCCGTGGTACTGTGTCTTTAACCACTTGCCTACTGGGCACTTATACCCCCTTCCTGCCCAGGCCAATTTCCAGCTTTCAGCGCTGTCACACTTTGAATGACAATTGCGTGGTCATGCAACACTGTACCCATATGAAATTTTTTTTAGTGACAGAGCTTTATTTTGGTGGTATTTAATCACCTCTGGGTTTTTTATTTTTTCTTAAACAAACCAAAAACCACTGAAAATTTGGGAAAAATTTTTAGTTTTTGTTATAAAATTTTGTAAATAAGTGATTTTTCTCCTTCACTGATGTGCGCTAATGAGGCTGCAGTGATGGGCACTGATAGGTGGCACTGATGAGGAGGCACTAGTAGGTGGCACTGATGGGCATTGACAGGCATCACTGATGGGCACTGAAAGGCAGCACTTACAGGCACTGATGCACACTGACTGGCACTGATTGGCAGCACTGAGAGGTGGAACTGACTGGCACTGATGGGTGACACTGAAAGGCAGCTCAGATGGGTACTGATATGTGGCATTGACGTGCACTGGTAGGCACTGATATGTGGCATTGATGTGGCACTGATGGGCACTGGCATGAATGAGCACTGAGAGCTGGCACTGATGGACACTGACAGGTGGCACTGCTTGGGCTACACTGATCATCAGGGCACACTGATGATCAGTGCCCTGATGATCAGTGCACATGTCCCCTCCGAGGAATGCCGATTATCGGCTCTGCTCTCCTCTCGAGCTGTCAGCATGACAGCTCGTGAGGAGAGAAATGCCAATAACCGGCATTTCCCTGTTTACATGCGATCAGCTGTGATTGGACACAGCTGATCACATGACTGAGCCGACATCTTCGAGGGACACAGCGCACCACCGATCACCGCGCTCCCCGAACCGAGAGAGAGAACCGCCTTGCTCCCGTCATTGGACTATATGGTGGGCAGGAGGTGGTTAAATCTCCGCTGAGCATTGATGTTCCACACCTGACAGTGTCCTCTATTTAAGCTGCTACTTCCCCAAAGTCCACCAGGCCAATAGAAGGAGCTAGAGGCTCCGAGCGCGTAGCCTGACTTCCCCACGTCTGTGCTCTTCCTTCCCACTTCCTGTGATGTCACATCCTGCTGGTGTGTTCCAGGCTGGTTACTAGGCTTCTTCCTGCACAAACGGCGCTGGATCAGCTCTACAACACCACCATTCTGTAGGATTGACCACTACAGTATCTCTCACCATCTTCATCAGCCCAGCTGCTATTGCACCAACCACCAGTGGCGCCTGCAGGACGATTTGAGGAACGGTCATCTCTCATATACACAGATGAGCTTGTTTTTATTACTTCCTTTGTGAGTGTTTAATATTTTGCTATTAAATACAGTGTTTTTACTGCACTCAGACGGGCGCCTCCTGTCTCTTTTCTTCTGTCCCTGCATACAGAGCTGACTTGCTCCGAGGATGGCTGCCGTCTTTTTGTGGTAAAAAGATTTTAGGCAAATTGCCTGAGAGACTCTTATAAGGACTTATTGTAGACCAATCCATTTACATACCCTGTTTTAAGTACTTGTATGCTAATATTGCCATTATTATCTTTTACTTTATAAATTTTATAATTTTTATCCTTTTCACCCTTACACTACTTTACTCCTCTGCGGCAGAGCTACTCGTTTTTTGGCGACAGTTTTTGTAGTTGCTGACTTTTGTTTTTTTTTTTTCCAGGTGGAACTTTTGCTTTAAAGATGGTGCTTGCCTTAAAGCCAGAGGAGATACCGTGAGCATCCAAACTAGCAAAAATGGTCAGCACACCAAAGGTTAAATATCTCAAATCTTTTCTGAGATCTTGTAATAACAACATAGCTTGTGCAAAAGAGAATGTTAAACCGGTGGTTTTACTTCTCTTGCACAAGCTTGTTCTCACAACTAAGATCTATGTAAAGATTTGAGATCTTTATCCTTTGGTGTGTTGGCCATTTGTGCTAGTTTAGAATAAAAAAAGACATGTGTCTATTGAGATCAAACAACAGAGGAATAAAATAAATTTAAAAAAGCAAAATTGTAAAGCTGCATCTCCAAAATACTAAATCCCAAATATCTTAACTGATCTAGGTGTGTATTTATGTACTGTGTAGATTCATCTAGTACAGCAATGGGCAAACTACGGCCCGCGGGCCGTATACGGCCCGCGGGCCGTATACGGCCCGGCAGACCTTATAATCCGGCCCGCGGAGCTAGACTCCGGCTAGACTCCTCTCACAGTCCGCCCTGAAGACCGATGCAGCAAGAAAATCTGTCTCCTGTGAGGATCTGTCCCCCTCGACGTATCTGCGCATGTGCCGGAGAGATCGCCGATCGGCTGCTAATGCCTGAAACTGGCACATGCGCAGATACGTCGAGGGGGACAGATTTTCATGCTACACCGGAACACGGCGAGAGCAACGCGCGGAGCAAAGGTAAGTGAATTGACACGGGGGACTTAATATGGGGGATGAATTACTATAGGGGGGATGAATTACTATAGGGGGGATGAATTACTATGGGGGGGAGGAATTACTATATGGGGGAGGAATTACTTTGGGGGGGATGAATTACTTTGGGGGGGATGAATTACTTTGGGGGGGATGAATTACTATATGGGGGATGAATTACTATATGGGGGATGAATTACTATATGGGGGATGAATTACTATGGGGGATGAATTACTATATGGGGGATGAATTACTATATGGGGGATGAATTACTATATGGGGGATGAATTACTATGGGGGATGAATTACTATATGGGGGATGAATTACTATGGGGGATGAATTACTATATGGGGGATGAATTACTATATGGGGGATAAATTACTATGGGGGTTGAATTACTATATGGGGGATGAATTACTATGGGGGACGAATTACTATATGGGGGACGAATTACTATGGGGGGATGAATTACTATGGGGGGATGAATTACTATATGGGGGATGAATTACTATATGGGGGATGAATTACTATAGGGGGGATGAATTACTATATGGGGGATGAATTACTATATGGGGGATGAATTACTATATGGGGGATTAATTACTATGCTTACTATGGGGGAATATTACTATACTTACTATGGATGACACATACACATCATTCATCTACTCTTGGTCTGGCCCCCGGGTCCAATATATGAACCCATTGCGGCCCTCAAGTCAAAAAGTTTGCCCACCCCTGATCTAGTACCATCCAGGAAAAGACATTCCTAACAACCAGTTCTCCACTTAATTGTGGTAGTCCATAGACATGTGACTGTTTCCCAGTTTATCTCCTGTCTATGGGTAGCCTAAAGGCAGGCCATATATGATGCAATTTAATCTGGTTGCAGAAAAGAAAATCAGTCAGTGTTGATGAGGGAATCCCTCCCGTGGAGCTATTGTGTTGTCCCAGCAGGGGAGAGGGGGTGTAGGGAGCTGTCCCCACTGGGAGAACACAATGATAATTGATAGTAGCTATAGCCACTAGCAATAATTGCATGCTAGAAATTCGACATGCTGGTTGTACCCAAGCTGATCAATGGATCGACTTGGGTACAATCATCCCACCCATAGATGGATTTAATCTCGGCCGGTTCCTGCTGAACTGGCCAAGATTCAAACTATCTATGTCTTAAGTCTAGCCATACATGGCCTAATATAAGTAGGCAATGTGAGTGACGATAGCACTGCTTGCCACAATTGGCACATGTTGAATCAGGGCAATAAGTTCTACTTATCATGTAAAGTGACTTATCTCAGAAAGATTTTCAACATTTCAAAATTGAATGTTTATTCATTTTACTATGAGGGAAAGGGAATAAAGCTTTTCCAGTACATAACTTACATTTATCCATCGGCTGAAGGAGATTGTGGCATGTATTGGCAGCACACAAGGCTTGCTATGGCAGCCAGATGTCCCACAACTCACCTTTGTTGGTCAGAAATCTGCCTATCTTTGAAAAAAATAAGCATCAGGAATGAAAACGGGCATATGTAAATACATGATAAAATGTATTATTTGTTAGTATTACTGTCTTTTTTTTGCCTGGAGTTCTTTTTCAGAGGACACCTACCACAGACCTTCCAAAATGACCCACTTTTGTAGGTATAAAATATTTATAGCACCCTATAAATATTGTTGTACTGACTGTACTTTTGTGGGGTCCTAGCCAATCCCCAACAGAAGGTTGGCAAGGGGCTGGACACCCCTAAAAGTGTTAGAGCCTGCTCAGCTGCAGGAGAGTTCGGTGGAAGACAGAAAGGAAGATGTGAGGCTGAAGGAAGGAGGCTGTGAGGAGGCCCAGTGGGATGGGGCCTACCTGCAGGTCTGGAACTGGAGAGTAGGAAAGCTCAGAGCTCATCAGCCCACTGAGAGAGGACCACCTGTATAGCAGGGAAGGAGCAACCCAGCTGATAGGCCTGGCCTGGTAACAGCCACCAACCCACAAGCAGTATAGGAGAGGATCAGAGTGAGTACACCTACACCCCCTGGGCGGATAGAGAAAAACCAGATGAATCACCTGCCAGTGACTGTTCAATGCTTAAAGTGACAGGAACTGGATCCCGTGTTAAGGAATACCTCCAGTTTGCTGGGTGAGGAGAAGTTCATCTAGGGTCTGGGGTGGTACATTGAGGAAATGCTGGCTAGCTCTCTGAGACTGTGCTGAGTTTTTCAGTACCCTTGGGCATCCTGTACACCCCTAATCCTATCCCAGTTCAATTTCCCCAAATAAAACAACAAAACCAAAGACTGGTTGCGGACTCTGGATGCAAGCTTTTGTGAAGATATGTGATGCCTGTCTGTGCATGACTATAGGGGGACCCAAATCTTCTGGTGACTCCTAAGGGGGTAGTGCTACATATTGTCAGGAATGGACTTGCCAGTAATGGTGGGACTCACCTGCCTTGTGGGCTGCAGTACCATGGCTGGCCAGCGGGTGCTCTCAGCAATCAGAGACTCAACCCTTCAGTCAGCCAAACACCTGAAGCTGATTACGGAGGTGTATTTAAGGGATGGCCAGACCTGCAGTCTGTGCCTTGTGTGTGTGTTTTTCCATGGGCCCCTGTATCTTGTTACCTGCATTCCTGTTCCTGTTCCTGCCTGACTGACTTGTTGCCGACCCTGCTTCATCCTGACCTCTGCTGACTTCTCCTGTTTGATCCCTGGCTTGTGACCCCGACCATTCTCTGCCTGACCCCCTGTACCTACCTGCCCGTTAGTTGCTGTACCCGGCTCGTGACCTGACTACTCTCTGCCTGATCCTTCTGTTCCTACCTGCCCGATTGTTATTGACCCGGCCGGCCTGACTACGCTTGCACTGTATGTATTGTTATCTGTGGGTGGTTTGGTTCATTTGCACTGTGTTTATGTTTTAGTATTGCACTGCGTTTTGTATTTTTAGTATTAATAAATTATATTGTTTATAACATATCTGAAGCCTGCGTTTCCCTGCGTCAGTTCACATACCTCTGGTCATACCCGGAGCCCTGACACATATTCTTGCCTTTTAGAATACTCTCATATGATATGGAAACAAGCGCTTCACACATAGTCATTGACAAAGTTCGCTCAGGTGAGGGTAATTGTAAAATCATGAATCTAATAAAAATGTACCAAGGGCAAATTACCCCCTGAACTTCAAACCTCTCCTGATTGTTTTATCTGCTGATCTAAAGAAATGGGACTCCCTTGCCTTATTGTGGTTTGTTCATTGTAATGTACTGAAAATTAAGATTATGCCCCAGTTATTATATCTACTACAGGCACTACCAGTTAAACTGCCACAAGCCTTCTTCCACTTTGTGCGCTCTACTTTGAATCAGTTTGGCATGATAAATACCCGCGCTTAAGTAGAAATTTGTTATGTAGGCCCAAACTGAGAGGTGGCCAGACCC